AATGTTGAAATAATAATAATAATAATAATAACAGTAATAATGATAATGATAATAATAATGATGATGATGATGATGATAATAATATTGATAATGATAAATTTCTCGTGTAAATTTTTTTTTTTTTTTAAGTTTTTTTTCATTTAAAAAAAAAAAAAAAGTCGAAACGGCTGTCACGGAGAGAAAAAATTTATTCATAGAGTAAATAAATAAATAAATAGCGTAAAATCCCTACTGTTAATCTTATTATTATTAGTATTATTATTATTATTATGTAATAAATAAATAAATTAAAAACGACGTGGAAAAAAAAAAATAAAATCGGACGTGACTATGAGAAAAACGTTTGATTTCAACATCATCATCATCATTTTTTTTTTTTTAAATAAAACAAAACAAATCTCGATCGATTTTCGATATATCGTTATCATCGATATAATTTTTTAAAAACAAATTGATGGATTAATACAATTAATTTGATTTGATTTAAGTTAAAAAAAAAACGTAGGTTTAATTAATTTAAACTTACCGTTTCGGATGATTTATGTATAAATTAATTCGATTGATCGATTGATTGATTGATTGATTGATTTCGGCCGATCCGATAATATAATAAAGTTTTTTAAAAAAAAATCTCACAATTAATACATTTAAAAAAAAAAATTAAAAATTATTTAAAACTTATTTAAAACAAATTATTTATTAATAAATAATACGTATGTAAACAAAATAATAATTTCACATAATTAAAATAATTTATTTAATATATATATATAAGTTTATTCTCGCGAAAAATTATATTGTGCGTGAATTAGTTTATTATGTTGCGTACGCGTGTGCGTAAGTGTTCTTATGTACATACATGTACGCACGAATGTAAATTAAATTATCAAATGACGATTGCGTTACGGGTAGATAAATAAATACGACATAAGTAGCTGGATGGCTTCTAGCTACTTAGCTACATAGGTACCTAGGTACTTACCTACCTGAAGAGATAAAAAATTTATTATAAAAAAAAAAATTGTCGAATGACGTACGCGCGACAAGAACGGTCGGTATTAACTCAAGCACGGATAAGATAAACATTGAAATTTTATTTAACAAGGGAAACCGTTTAAATTCAAACAGTTTAATACTTGCAACGGAAAAAAAATAAATAAATAAATAACAAAAACGTTCATCTCGCAAATTTTCTTTTCTTTTTAATTATTATTATTATCATTATTATTATTATTATTAATAATTAGGTTGAGTTTTTATTTATTTAATTGAAATTAAAGGGAATTTTATAGATTTTTTTTTTTGTAAATGGGCGACAGCATTTAATTCGTATTCGTTTCGAAATAACTGTCGGATTTGATCGTTTTCTTTTTGCCCCCTTTCCCCTCCCCTCCCCTCCCTTCCCTCGCCCCTCCTTTTTTCACTGAGAGGGGGGGGATGAGAAAAAATGGCGGTTTTTATTTGCATGTGTCGTAAATGGATAAAAAAAAAAAAAATTGTGATTTTTTGTTATAAGGATTTCTAAACTTTTTTTTTTCGTTTCGTTTATAATTATTATACGTTATGTATAAAATTGGTCAACTTTCTGGTTGTAAACAAAGAGAGAGAGAGAGAGAGAGAGAGAGATAACGTGTATTTAAATATTATATTATTTTAATTATATATATATATATATTTTTTTCCAGAAATTTCCAGGCTCGATAAAAAAAAAATATATATGTGTATATATATATAATTATGTTATTGTCGTATTGCGCATAATTTTTTTTTTTTTTTTTACGATTGTAATTTATATAATAATTGTTTTTATTTTACGTCTCTCTGTCTCTCTCTCTCTCTCTCTCTTTGCTTCTTCTTATCTCTCTCTCTTTTCCTCTTATTTTTCTCATTTTTTGCTTTTTTTTGTCACATTCTCTCTCTTTCTCACCCTCTACCCCTCTCTTTCTCTCTCTCTCTCTCTCTCTTTGCCCCTTTTTTCTCTCTCTGTCTCTTTTTGCCTCATTTTCATGTGTCTTTTTTTAAGGTTTTTGCGTTTACAAATGGCACATTAGGTAGAGAAAGAGAGAGACAGACAGAGAGAGAGAGAGTGAGAGAGAGACAGAGAGAGTGAGAGAGAGACAGAGAGAGAGAGAGAGAGAGAGAGACAGAGAGAGAGAGAGAGACAGAGAGAGAGAGAGAGAGACAGAGAGAGAGAGACAGAGAGAGAGAGAGACAGAGAGAGACAGAGAGAGAGGGAGAGAGACAGAGAGAGAGAGAGACAGAGAGAGAGGGAGAGAATTAAAAAAAAATTTTTTTTGGAGATGGAAAAATTAACGCGAGTCAATCAATAATCATTTTTTTTTTTTTTTTGTTTGTTCGCTTCGAGTTTGTCCGGGTTGTTGGTAATTTTACGAATTATCCAGCACAATAATAATAATAATAATAATAATAATAATAATAATAATAATAATAATAATTGTTTATTAATATTTTGTTGTTTTTTTTTGGGGAAAAAGAAAAACAAATAACTTGGGGTTACGACAACAACTGTCAACCCTGACCTTTTTGTTTTGTTTTTTTTTTTTTTTTTGTTTTTACGAGTTCAATGTCGGAATATTATTATTATTATTATTATTATTATTTTTGAATTTTTTTTTTTTTTTGTTTAATCGAAAAAATCTTAATTTCGTACCTTGAAACTATTAAACTAAAAGTTCCAGCGATGAGCAAACGAAAAAAAAATTTCACGACGATTTTTTCTGGAGATAAAAAAAAAAAAAAATTTATTTCGTTCTAGATCGGAGTAAAACGGGTAAAGAGAAAAAAAAAATTTATTTTTTAATTCGACCACGATGACGTGGTTTTAGAAAAAAAAAAAAAAGAAAAAAGAACAGGAAAAAATTCGCAAATTTTTTTTTTTTTTTTTGGTTTTTTGCAATTTTAAAATAATAATAATAATAATAATAATAATAATAATAATATAATAATACTATAATTCCGATTTGGAATTATATTTAAAACGGAACCGGATGTACTTCGTAAATTTTTTTTTTACGCTTCTGACGTCACAAAAGTTTAAAACGATGATGATGATGATGATGATTAGCCTATCGCGTTTCACGATTTTGGAACATTTTGATGGATCTTTCCTCCCCGTTATTTCCATAAAATTTTTTTTATCCTTTTTAATATCTTATTTACTTTTCTCCCCCTCTCCCCTTCCCTCCCACCTCTCTCTCTGTTGCTACTGCCACGTTTTTTTCTTCTTCCATTTTCTTCATTAACTATTAAAATTAATTAATTAATTAATTTATTTCTACGAATCGTTTTTAATATTTATTGTCATTATTATTATTGCTGTTATTGTTGTTCTTTGTTGTTGTTGTTTGTTGTTTGTTGTTGTTGTTGTTGTCGTTGTTGATTTTATTTATTGTTTTGTTTTAAATATTAATTTCATGAAAAATTATTCGGTTTTACGTATTAACGACGACTTCATCCGTTTCGAATTATTTAATAATAATAAATTAAAAAGAGAGAGAGAGAGAGAGAGATAGGGGGGGGGGGCTAAAGAAAATTTCAAGCCAAAAATTTATTAAATTTGTTTTTAATCGTATTCATGGAATATAATAATAATAATAATAATAATAATAATAATAATAATAATAATAATAATAATAATAATAATAATAACTGCGCCCTTAATTGATGATAATAATTAACAATTATCAATTTGCATTTAAATTTTTTTTTTATTTTTTATTTTCTAATGAATATGTATTGTTTAAAATAATAATAATAATAATAATAATAATAATAACGACGTGATGAAAGAAAGGATGCGAAAAAAAAGAAAACAGTAGTGGTAATTAATAATAATAATAATAATAATTTTAAAAGATGTTAATTACATGGCCGAAATCGAAGGTTGTTGTTGAATTCGTCGAATTTTTTTTTTTTCAAATCGATTATTCGTCAAAGGAAATTTTTTTTATCAATGACGAAACGAAAGGAAAATTTTTCTGATGACACGATAATTATTATTATTATTATTATGGATTTTTACCCCCGATTTCCCTCCCCGAATTATCGAATCGAAAAATTTCGAATCAAACGCGAGATAGGAAAAAAAAAAAAGAAAAAAAATTGTTAATTAGTAATGACGTCATATCATTACACACTGACGTAAATAAATCTTAGAATAAATAAATAAATAATAATAATAATAATAATAATTTTTAAAAATGCAATAAATAAATAAATAAATTTTATGTAAAAAAATACGACGTATTTAGAGAGAGAGGGTTAAACGAAAAAAAAATGATTATTCGAAACGTGGAAAAAGAAAAAAAAAGACATAAAAATATAATACATCATTTAATTATTATTATTATTATTATTAGTATGACGTCAGTAACCTTTCGTCCAATAAAAATAATAATAAAATTTATGTAAATGACGGTGAAAAAAAAAAAAAATTAATGGATTCATCTCGTTTTGATTTCAATTTTTGTAAAAAAAAAATTCTTCTCCCCGTTTATTATTATTATTATTTTTTCGTTTTTGGGTTGGACGGAATTTCCGGTTCCCCCTCCCATCCCCCCTCTTCCCCCTTCCCGAGTAAGTAAAATAAACGCCAACGTTTTATTTAAAAAAAAAAAATTTTTATTACCCCATAATGATAAGTAAATATTTTTTTTATTAATTAAATAAATTCGCTTCCTGGAAAAAAAACGTTTTATAAATTTCTTCTGCTAAACAGATATAAAATTTTTCAGTTTTATTGAACTCGAAAAATTAATAATAATAATAATAATAATAATAATAATAATAATAATAATAATAATAATAATAATGATGATGATGATGTAAAAGGTCAAGGGATGTTTTTTTTATCATTATGTAAAGTCATGGAAAATTAAAAAAAAAAAGTGTCAGGAGACGATGGTGACGACGATGACGACGACGACGAATAACGACGATTCGTTATTAATTTAAATTTAAAAAAACGCGGGAAAATTTTATTATTTAGTCACGACGGAAAAATCAAAATTGATTAAATTGGGTAAAGTTTTTATAACGGTCGATCGATAAATTGGATTTTCTTCAATCGGATTTCCGTGCAACGTTAAAGTTTTTAATAATTTCAAAGATTTTAATTTTGTTACTTCAATGAAAAATTTAATTTGATTCCCGTGTAAATATAATATTTTTAAATTTTTCAATTGTAGCAAATCGTTTGATATTATTTCGATGCTGTTGAAGGAAACGTCGAGCCAACCGATCATTTCCGGTTTTGAAAATGATACCTTAACGAGTGAATGAATCGATCTTAAATCCGTTAAATTGTTGTAATTAACCCATAGAGAACTGAAAACGGAAAAAAAAAAAAAAAGAAAAATTGATTAAATTTTGTAAAGACAAACTACAAACGTTTGTGTTTGTATACGATTGTTTGAAAATTTTATTAATGACGTCATTTTTATTTTAAATTTTCCGGATGATGTTGTACACGGTAATGAGTTTGTTTGTTTGTTTCCGCGGGATTTTCCGATTGATTTTAAAACGTTTTTTGTTGATACCCGGTGGAGTTTGTTTTAGGTTTGTTGTTTAGTCGGATTGTATTTGTTTGTTGATATCCAGCGGAGGGATTGGTGTTAGGAAACAACCGGAAATTGAATTATTAATTGCATTGGAAAATTTGAATCGGTTGTGTTTGTTACATCCTTTTTTTTTGACCCGGTAGCAGGAAGAGTGTGGGGGGACTCAACCGAAGCCACTACCCTACTTAAACTCCTGGATGTGTTTCATCGTGCCCTTCTTCCCGGAGAGGGAGTGCTCGCGGAGGTATAACCTGCATTTTAGCCTCAACTCTCTCCAGAGCCAGAATCATCAGGTCCACAGTAGCGAGGGTGGAAGGAAGATCCCGGTACTTCCCCTTTTTACCCTTCGAGAGACAATCCCGATTTGTTACCATCGTTCGTGTCTCCTCCGCAGAGTCTGCGAGTTTCCAGAGAGAGAGAGACAGAGAAATAGAGAGAGAGAGAGACAGAGAAATAGAGAGAGAGAGAGAGAGAGAGACAGAGAGAGAGAGAGATGATCGTTCGTCTGCCTACCTTTCATATCGCAGCTCTGCATTTTTCATATTTGGATCAAGTACCCAGTTTCACCCTCTCGAACAAGTGCATCCCCTCGAAAGGGTTCTAAGTCCCTTATCCCCTTTATGTACGTACAGGTATGTTTGGACGACCTGAAATCGAACTCCCACTCCCAGAATTCGAATTCACCCACGACTCTCAACTCGGTGATTTTCAGGCGGATTTTTTCCCTCTTTTAACCTGGCTACCTTTTCCTCTTTGTCGTTTGTTTTATGACTTCAAATAATGAATTTCGTTAATGACACGTTCAAAATATTTTTTGAGTAAGAGATCAGTAACTCCAGCGGGGGTGAAATTTGTTCTATGGTAAACTAAAAGGGGAGGGGGAGAAGAAGAGTAGAAGGGTATAAGGGCAAATTGATTAGTGCACATTTACGTACGTGTTTGCGTGTGTGTTTGTTGCTTAGAGAAAAAAAATTACGTTAATTAATAAACAAATGGAAATCAATAACAATAAATTTTATTCATTATTATTATTAACAACAACAACAACAACAAACAACAAACGATTTTAAATAATTAAATTTAGTAATAAAATAAAATAAAAAATTTTTCAAGTTCGCATTTGAATATGGGGTCAAAAAGAACAAACAACAATAAAACGATTCGACGAAAAACCGGGAAAGGGGGGGGGGAAACATTATAAATAAAATTACGTAAATGTATAAATGGTACGTACCTGGATATAAATTTTCCAGAAGAAGTTTTTTTAGGGACTCCCACCCTGTATTCTCTCGGCGTATCATTTTTTAATTCTTCGAGTGTATCCGCTTTACGAAATGAATAATCCAGTGGGACGCCTTGTACGTTTGGATCAATTCGAGAATTCGTTAGAGGAAGTTTTGATTTTTTACGTGGTTCCGGCTGGAGAAAAATAATAATAATGATAATAACCACAGAAAACGTGGAAATAGAATATTTTTAATAATTTTTAAAATTTCATACAAAAAAAAAAAAAAAAAAAAAAACAGGATGAAAGGGAAGGAAGAGATGGAAAAATAAAAGCGATGGTGATGAGAAAACGATCGTGACGATCGTGGTAGTAGAACGAAACAATTTTTGGTTATTGCCACGTCATTCCAAATTAATAAACGAATTTCTATTTAAAAAATTTTTTTATCGTTTCGAAATTTTACTCGAACTACTGCTAAATTTTTTTTTTTTTTTGTTGTCTTTAAAAATTTTCCGATTCGAAATAAGTTATTACGTAAGGTCAAAGGTCACAGATGAGAAAAAGAAAAAACAATAATAATAATAGTAATAATAATAATAATTTTTAAATCAAAAGTAAAAGTCGAATTAAATAGAAGAAAAATTTCTTTTGCGTGGAAAAAAATCGATTATTATTTAATAATAATAATGATGACGATGACGATGATGATGATGATGATGATAATGATGATGATGATGATGATGATGATGATGATGATGATGATGATTATCGTAAAGGATTTTTTATCGGTGCGTTAAGAGGAAAAGAAAATTTTGAAAAAGATGAAAGAAAAAAAAATGAAAAATCACTCGATAGATATAATTAATTTGATGGAAAATGGAAAAGGAGGTTTGATTACACTAGTGCCACGTTTTTTTTTGTTATTTACCTGAGCGTAAATTTCTTTTAAAATTTTTTCGGATTTATTAAAAAAACTTGGTTTGTCGATCGGATGCATGTCGCGCGCGCGTTGTTGTTGTTGTTTTCCCTGCGGTAAACGGAAGTAAAAAAAAATTATTTTCTTTCGTGTTTTCCTTAAAAGAAAAGTTATGAAGTTAAAGATCACATGACAGTTATCGTTATGTGTGTGTGTGTGTGTGTGCGTGTGTGCGTGCGTGTGTGCGTGTGTGCATGCAAGAAATTTAATGGATTATATTTAAAATGTAAAAGAATGGTAGTGTTACTCTCGTGTGTGATAACATTTCCGCTCATTTTTTTTTTCTAGAATACTTTTTCTTTTTTGATTTACGATATGTGCTCCGCCATTTTTTTTTTTTTTTTTTTGCAAAAAAGACGACGACGAAGGTTTTCCCCCCCGAAATTTTTTTCCGGGTTTTCTTCTTCTTTCGGATAAAAAAAAAAAAAAAGGAAATAAATTTACATAAATTGTACGTTTTGTTTGTTTGTTTGTTTGTATTACGACCAGGTAAATTCAGATGTGTATCTTTTAAATTTTTTAAATTTATTATCACTGCGATTTTTAATTAATCGCATATGGTGGTGGTGGTGGTTGGTTGTTGGTCGTTCGTTCGTTGGTTGTTTGTTTGTATTTTAATCTTTAGACTCTTTAAAAAACTTTTTTTTTTTTTTTTAATTTAGATCGACGGATTATTACGATATCATTTTTTTTCTTTTTTCTCGACCGAAAAAAAATTTAAATTTTTATCGCGCCTAAAAATTTAAACGAAAATAATTAAAGAAAATTCTAGAAAAAAAAAACAGAAAAAAGTTTTTTTTTCAAACACTTTTATACGTAAACAAAAAAATTAATTTCCGGGACAAAACGAAATTTGTCGTTTAGTTTTATTATTATTATTATTATTATTATTATTATTATTATTATTATTGATAAAAGTTTGTTGTTTGTGTTAGCGTGTAATGATTTTATATGGGTTTGTTAAATGAAAAAAAAAAATTTTTTAGGTTCTTTAAACCCTTTTGCACACTTACGATGATTTAAAAAAAAAAAAATCGGACGTCGTTTATCTGTCACATAACAAGAGAAAAAATTGTCGTTGTTGTTGTTCTGGTTGTTGTGGTTGTTGCGGTGGTTGTGGTGGTGGTGGTGATGGTAAACCTAAAACAAAAAAAAAAGAGCAATTTCATATTTATTTATCAAAAAAAAAAAAGAAATTTAAATATGATGAAATGATAGTCTTAGATATTCACATGCAAACATGAAATTCTTATCACGACAGCCAGGTTTTCTTTTTTAATAATAATAATAATAATAATAATAATAATAATAATAATGAAAGCAGTAGAAAAATAAATTGCACATATTGATTAAGATCATTGACCCCATTATTCGAATTATAATAAACGAAATATAATTTAAATGATAAAAACCGTGAAATATATAAAACATTAATAATAATAATAATAATAATAACGTTAGATAAATAATAATAATAATAATAATAATAATAATAATAATAATAATAATAATAATAAGAAGAAGAAGAAAACACGCGCGCAATTGTCGTTAAGCGGTCGTGGGAAAATCCAAAAAATTTAAATAGAAGCTTGTTCATCAGAGGACTTAGAACTACTACGAGAAGACAAAAAGGACTTAAAGTCCGTGAAAAGTCGACAAGTGAAGGACAAGAACAGTCGGAAACGATATTTCCGGTTGTTCGATATTGGCATAAAATGAATAGGGTTCATACACAGTTCTGTACGATCAAGAAATCCACACTGACAGAACTGTGCCAGCCAACAAACCGGATATCATCCTCAGGCATATTTCGGATAAATGGTGTAAGCTGATTGAAGTATCCGTACCGGCGGAAAAGACACGAGATGGACAAAGAAGGGGACAAAGGTTGAAATAGTTAGGATGTGGGGAGTAAAGACAGAAACTATTCCGGTCATTGTGGGAGCATCACTGGAAGACATGCATGTCACATAATCTGGAAATGATGCTGTTTAATACAACCTTTGATGGAACTACTTAAACCGAATATGTATTACCCGAGGAATCGGTTAGCAACCTGAAATTGGAAACAATTCAATACGAAAACCTTATCCTGTTCATAAGTGAAAATAATAGTAATAATAATAGTATTTTGAATAATTCTAATAGAAAACCTGAAATTAAAAAATAGTAATAGAATATAATAGATAAATAACACTAGTTCTGATTAAAAAGCGTAAATTATTAATAATAATAATAATAATAATAATAATAATAACGATAATGAAATTCGCTCATTTATTTATTATTGTCTCGCATCGAAAGGAAATTTAATATGGAAAAAATTATTATTATTATTATTATCATAATTAAACGATTTTACTAATTTTTTAATGAATTATTTATTTCATTAAATAATTATTAAATTTGCCGATGAATATTTACCTGGTTTTTTTATTTATTTGATTATTATTATTTAATTATTATTATTAAATAATTTTAATAATAATAACAATAATTTGAAAGGGAAAAATAATAAATAAAAAACAATGTTGTCATTTTTATTGTTTTTTAAATTTTATTATTATTATTATTTAATACATTTTAAAAAAAATTAAAAAAATTTTAAAAAATAAATAAAAAAATTATGTAAACAAAAATAATATTAATAATAATAATAATAATAATAATAATAATAATAAATGGATATAAAAAATAAAAATGTCGGAAAAGTTAGAAGGCTGTGGAAAAGGGAGGGAAAGGGGGAGAAGGTGGGGGGAGGGATAACGAATTTTTTTTTTATTTTAAAATTTAAATTTATTCCATATTATTTTGTTTGTTTAATGTCAATTAATAATAATTATTATTATTATTTGAAATTTGAGCTGTTGTTTGTTTGTCGGTTGTTATTGTTGTCGTCTTTATTTTTTCGAATGTTGTCACATCTGCGAGATTTTTAATGATCGAATCAATTTTAAAAATCGTCGTGGAAATAAAATGGCGTCGCCGTCACAAAAAAAAAAAAAACGTGTCACTTGTTTCTTTTTTTCTGTTGACACGCGTGATTTTTTTTTTTTAAATTAGAAAATTTATAACAAATTCAAACTTTGCACTTTCCCTCCTCCCCTCCCGTCCTCCCTCCCCCTCTGCCTCCCTCCATAAAAATTTTATTTTTATTTTTTTTTACGTCTTTTTTTTTTTTTTTTATTAATTTACGTTTCGATCAATTAATTTTGATTTATCCTTTTTTTTATTATTATTATCATCATCATCGTCATTATTCAATTATTATTATTATTATTATTATTATTATTATTATTATTATTATTATTATTATTATTATTATTATTATTATTAATTAAAATACTTTTGTCGCGTATTTTTTTTTTTTTTTTAATTTGACCCAGGAAGTCAATGCGTACAGAGTTTTTCGTAAGTATGTACATGTTCCTTGACAGTGTATTATTATTATTACGCTATGTATTTTCCTCGTCTACCTTGGCCCTTATTTTTGTCGTAATTTTTTTTGTTTTTTGAATCGTCTTACGATGCCTGAGACGTAACGCACACACACACACACACACACATGCACGCGCACGCGTACACGCACAAACAAACAAACAAAATAAAGAAAATCGTTACGTAAAAAAAAAATTAAAGGTTAGAAAAATTTGAGTGTTATTGTGACGTCACGAAAATAATTTATCCCTCGCGATTTGTTTTTTTTTTTTTCGCGATGATTATAACATACGATCGATGTAAAAATGATTGTTTTAACAAAAATTATTATTATTATTATTTTTTTTGTTGTTAATAATAAATTTTTTTTTATCTATGGGGGGAACGTAAAAATAATTTTTGGAAATTTTTTTTTTCCAAAATGATTTTTTTGAAATTTGAGGAGGTACGAATGGGATGATGGTTAAGTTCGTAACTTATTCATTATTTAACAGGAAGAAAATCGGTTTTAGGGATGATGATGATGATGATGATGAAGGGGTGAAAGAAAGAAAGAAAGAGAAAGAGAGAGAGAGGGATAGAAATTTTATTAGGTGAATGAAATAGGAGAGGGAAAACATGGATGAAAAAGAAAAAAGACGATAATTTTGTGGTGGAAAATTTAATTTTCCCCAATATCATTTCTTTTTCCCCGACTTAATCCTTGTTGTTATCATTATTATTATGAGTTTATCAGGTTTCGATTAAAAGTAAACCAAACGGTGTATAAATCATTCGTGTATTTAATTTTTCCAGCTTCACGACCTTCGATATATATTATTTTTGGCATTTTTTTAATGAATGACGTGAATGTGTTATTTTTTAGCATGTTTTTTTTTTTTTTTCGTTCACCTGTAAATTAATTGTTCAAATATAGAATTTGTACCGCGTAGAAAAAAATTTAAATAAGATTCTAAGAAGAAAAAAAAACCGCGTTACCGTTTACATTATTTTACATTATTGTTTGTTCGTCGGGTTTTTTTTCGTTTCTTCTAAAAAACAAACGCGAATTTTTCTTTTTAAAAAAAAAAAAGGGGGGGAATAATAATAAATTTTATTTTAAATGTAAATAAAAATTTTTTTTTTTTTTTGCAAATATTTTTACCGCGAAATAAAATAATTATGATAATAAATGAGTAAGTAATATTTACAAAAATCCCCGTTTACCGTGAGAAAACAAAACTTAAAATTTTAAGTTATGCAATTTGTCATACGCGAATGTTTTGTTTGTTATTGTTTTGAAATTTGCAGGGTTCTTGCTTTGCGTGTAAAATGCAAGTTATGGTTATTGGTCGTAAAAAAAAATTTTAAAAAAATTATAATTACTCTATGAAATGTAATTAAAATGTTAACTGAGGGCTATTTTAATTCGAAAGGTTTCATTTTAATTTAATAATTAATTAAAAACATCGCATCATAAATAAACATCAATGAAAATATATGCAAAAGGAAATTTGTTTATTTTCGTTCAAAAAAAAAAAAAAAAAAAGGCGGGACGTGGTCGAGTGGCGGAGTTTGTGGTCTATTACCACGTCACGTTTTAA